TATGCCAATAAAAATTTCTATTAACAATGCAATTATATTAATTATTGGATAATATAATAACAAAAATACATAACAAAAAAATTATTCTTGACTATATAAGTCTCTTTAATTTAATACAGATTTATTCATTAAAATTCAGATAATATTATTGGCAGCAACAGAATAAAATTTAAAATAAAAAATATTACAAGATTAATAAAATACATATATCTTCTTTTATATTATAAAAGAAAGCGAGCAGACAAAAATATTAAACAAAGTAATATGCTAATAAAAATTTCTATTAACAATGTAAAAATACTAACATTGGATATAGAATAAAGAAAAATATAGAACAAAAGAATTATTCAATGAATATATAAGTCACTTTAATTTAATAGCGATTTTATTATTGGGTATATCTGTATCGCATTAACAAATAAGATGACAATCGAAATTTATTAAAGCAATACGATCTAATTTATTCAAACAAGCCCGCTCACAATTTAACTTAATAAATATTTTTTAATATTGATCGCGCATTGCATGAGTACGACTACTAGTATTCTTTAAAAAGGTAGAAACCCCAATAATGAGACGGACTGTTAAGATTGAATTGGGTGTAAAGAGCATGTCTCACCGAACTTTGATAAAAAGTTCTAACAATACTAATAAAAGGAGTCGCCAGCTAATTGTGAATTGCTACAAGCTACATTATCAACAATGATTGCTCACAAATTCCAAGCCCAATGTTCTCTAATGCTGAGATTTGACTTAATTTTTGGCATGTGAAGCCTGTAAACATGTATGGATTGAGAGTATGTTAAATTCAAACCAAGATCGAGCGAAACAACAAAAGTTACTAGTCATATGAAATTATAATTAAAAATGAAACCTGAAATATGGATATTGACTATTAACAAGTTATCAGCCTCTAGACTCTGATAGCTAAAATAAGATATAGAGACTATCATCAGAAATAATACAAGGATCTAAGAAGAGTCCGAAAGATAAAAAGAGTTTGATATCGCTAAAAAGAATCTGCAATATTTGTCACATGACATAGCAAGTCCAAACAGGTTTAGTACCATAAATAGGGCACTAAAATTGAATTTAACTGAAAACATTTATTTTCTAAAAATTAACAAACAATAAGTGCGGGGATAGGTGGTCTTCCATACTTGAGGAGGTTGACTACTTCTTTGATACGTGAAAGAATCAAGTGATAGATAGCACCCACCTACAAATGTAGCCTTGGCATTCGTAGCACTCGTGATAGTACATGGGGAGACTTTCTACTTATTCTATATCCAATGTGATCACATTGTCTATATGTAAGTTGAGTATGATCAATACAACTAACTACATACATAAAAGTATTTGCTAGCCAAGTTATTAATTCAAACTATATCATCCAACCAATTCCTCCATCAAATTCTTAGTAAGCTTTTCATCACTTCCACCCTTAATTTCCACTAATTTTCATCCAACCAATTTAGTCATTTTCCGTCATAAAATTACTAACTTTAATAGTAGGAAGTAACAAGAATTACCTTGGACCTTAAATTTTGGGTTCTTATTTGATGAAAATATGTGATTTTCTCATATTAATCCTTGTTAATTTCATGATAATCGACTTGAATTCACACAAGAATGATTGGGGTTCTTAACTAGGATTATATGGAAAGCCAATAGATCACTTTATATACAGAAAATTAGTATAAGCTGGCGCTGCAGGTCTAACGCGGGTGCTAAATTCACACTCTCCCTCCCTCCCCCCAAGCATTTTAATTTCAGCATTATGAAATTTCGCCAAAATCTATTTTTATCAAAGCTTACTACAGACTTGCAGTGTGCATGCCTTCAAAATATTTTTATTCTTTATTCTATCATCGATTCCTTGACCCGCTTAATTATAGTCAAAGATCACTTTTAGTCCGCAACCATAACTATTTATATTCGATAGCTGTAAAAGTAAACAAAATTTATATAATTTTTTTGTATATAACATACAAAAATGTATACACACACACACACACACTTTTTCGGCTACAATTTTAAGAACGGCTATATAATGTCATTTCCCCTTAATTATCTCCCATCCAAGCCTCTTCCAATTGGTTCCTTATGTATTTTTTTTCCGTTCCTGTACACTATTTGAAACCTATTTATCAAAATTGTTCCAATTTAGTATATTACGCGCCTTAAACAAGGATTACATACAAATTATATACATTCCACCTTAAAAGGCTTCCAATCTATTATTAGTGCCTTCAATCAAGGGATTTAGTTACACCCTTTTCCTTTTTTCTCTCCTTTCTTCCCTCTTCTCTCTAGATTGAACTTATATTTAATTATGAAAACGATCTAGGTCTATGAGAAGATTCCCCATTTGGTCCCAGCTCCCAACGTCCCCTGTTATTGCCATGAAAGTAGGATCTAATTCAATTTGATTGAAGATCTAGCTAGGTCACAATTAACAATTCCTATAAAAAAAAATAACAAATATCCATCAAAACAAGGAAAACCAATGCTATAACATCAAAATAGTTTCACATACATACTATTGAATAGAAAAGGCATGTCTCGTCAATTAAAGATTGTTCTAAATTTGATTAATCGGATGCAGATCCGCCGATCAACATCAAAAAGGGCCAATTTTGTTCATATATTGATATAATACACTAATTCGCGTAAGTTTAAACGTCTTCAACAATCGACTGTCAATATGGGAATAAGATGAACTATCAATTTAGTCAATAATTTTACCAGAAATAATAGGGGGGCACTGTCACACATGAACATAGTGTAAACGAGGCATAATAAGCATAGTAAGAAGGTGATGTCTCCAAAAGCAGGCAACGAAAAACCTACATTGAATGTTGCAGCTGAACAAAATTTAGTATCTCCTCGGACTTCAGAGAAGGTAAAATCAACTGAGAAAAGAATAGTATATGGTACATCAACATACAAATTAAAAATAAAATTCGTACAAATTTAATGTAAATTTGAAATATCTAACAACAACATACATAGTAAAAAATAAATTTCATACAACTAATTATATATTATACAATTTATTTACAACTTTCATACATTATTTTACCAGTTAAATACAACTACAATATCATACAACTTAAATACAATCTTTATACATATGTCTTTTGTCTCATTTGTATATATTTTGTCTTTGGTGTGTGCTTCTTCCTCTCTAAAATTTCAATCAAAACTTACTCTCTTAATATAATTTTGATACATATCAATAACTTTATGTAAAAAGATAGTATTGACAACTTAAATATAAATTTTATACAACGCATACATTATACAATTATTTTTCAACGTTCATACAACACTCAAATAAAAAAACATATATATATATATATATATAACTACAACAGGATACAATCTACATACAATTATAATACAACTTTACTACAATTTCGTAAGTATATTGTATGTCATGTGTTCTTCTTCTTCTTTTCGAGTTTCAATCTGAAATTCAGCCAAAATCAAGTCTAATCTTCACCAAAACACCCTCAAAATTGAGATATAAACACCAAATAATATTCCCAATTGTTTGCAACAACACCCAATCCAAATAAATAATGCTTTTTGAAAACACAAATTTGAACCAAGCTTCAAAACTTTTTAATGGCTGTCAATGGTGGAATTGCAGCTCTCTTTTCCTTTGTTTTACATTACTGAAATTAGGGATTGAGAGATAGAGAGAGACGTAAAGAGAATTCCCAATATTTTGCAACAACACCCAATTCAAACAAATAATATTTTTTGAAAACCCAAATTCGAATTCAAAGCTTCAAAGCTTTTTAATGATTTCAATGGTGAAATTGCCGATCTATTTTCCTTTGCTCTACATTACTGGAATTAGGGATTGAGAGATAGAGAGAGGCATAGAGAGAGAGAGAGAGAGAGAGAGAGAGAGAGAGAGAGAGAGAGAGCGAGAGAGAGCGAGCGAGCTTGATTTTCCTCTAAATGAAAAACAAAAGACTTCAACAAGCTCAATTGCTATAGGTATCACAATGCAAATGCCTATCACAAAGAATGATAAGCTCACAGATCGTAGGTAGCCTTGCCCAACAGAAGCTGATTCAAATCCTGTCCTTTGTCTTTCGGCCACCAAAAAATTATATTTATTCGCTATTTTTGTACTTTTTCAGCTGTAAGCATAGGTTGTTGATCATATAGAAAACTAAACAGAAGTTTTTTGCAACTTCTGGTTAGCCAGGTAGCTTGCTAGATGCCCCAACATCAACTACAAATTTTAACATATAAAGACTTGAGGTATAAAAATCCTCTTACTATATCTTGACTACTTAGTCCAGACCCTATTTCTGACACTCACCTTGTGGCAAAGGAGATGGAATAATTCTGCTCCCCTTTTACGGTTTAGCTGTTAACGAACGTGTATGTTAGACAGGTTTGCACCAAATATTGATCTTATGTCTCCTAACTGGTTACAACCTGCTTTAAATGAACTTGCAACAAACAGACAATGAAACCTGAACTTTATGTTGAACTGGCTTTGAGGTTTTGATCTGCAAGATTTTTTAATCTGATACAGCTGAAGTATTATCCTTGTTGTCCTTATATACTTTTTTGCACCTAAGTTAAGGGCCTTACATACTGTATTGGAATTTCACTTAATGAGTTGTTCCTCTTATCCTAGAGTTCCTCTAAATTATCTGTGGTAATTTCCATAGGAGCATTTCTCCAGTCTTGCTCAATTGAGGTGGTCCTTGAAAATTTGCCAACTGAATATATTAGTATAACTATATAAGCTATTAACATGCACATTTTCTTCGTATCTTGCTTATTTGATCAGGTCCTTTACTATCTTTTTTGCCCTTTGGGTATTGAACTTCTGGAAGCCACTACAAGTAGAAACTTTGTTCTGGAAATATTGTTTTTGTTGCTTTCTGTTCTTTCAGTGATACTTTTATATAACAGATTTCAGAGCACCTCTCTGTTGTTTAACCAGGATTCTTTATTTTCTGTAGTGCTGGTAAAAGTTTTGTTGCTGAGATATTGATGTTACGTAGAATTTTATCATCCGGAAAAATGGGTCTTCTTGTACTACCATATGTATCCATTTGTGCAGAGAAGGTGATGTTATCTTTTAGCTTTCAAAGTGGTCTTTATTATAAATATTAGGATATATAGCATATTTACTTCGTATCATGTCCTGTATAAACTTGTTCAGGCAGAACATCTTGAGGTCCTTTTGGAACCAGTTGGGAAGCATGTTCGCAGTTATTATGGTAATCAGGGAGGCGGTAGTCTTCCAAAGGACACTGCTATAGCTGTCTGCACTATTGAGAAGGCAAATTCCTTAATTAACCGACTGCTAGAAGAGGGTCGTTTGTCAGAGCTTGGTATCATAGTGATTGATGAACTCCACATGGTATTGACTTTAACGTTCTTTTCTGTTATTGTTTTATTTTATTTTAATGATGTCCAGCTAAACCTTCCTATCATTTTAAGTTTACGTTCTATTTGCTCGGAGCTGCTGTTTTGGCGTCTTTGCTGGAACTCATAGTTATTTGTATTTATTAAATTCTAATTGTCTTGGTCTCTTGAGTTGCTTTCATGTTAGGTTGGAGACCAGAATAGGGGTTATCTATTGGAGTTGATGTTGACCAAGCTTCGCTATGCATCTGGTGAAGGAAATACAGAGTCTTCCAGTGGAGAAAGTTCAGGTTCTAGCAGTGGAAAAGTTGACCCTGCTGGCAGTCTCCAGATTGTTGGCATGAGTGCAACTCTGCCCAATGTGACAGCAGTCGCTGATTGGCTTCAAGTAAGATGAAATTCATTGCTTTTTAGTTCTTTCAATTAAAATCTTTATTGATAACACCCCATGCCAGTTTCAGAAGTATGTAAATGTTGGGTATATGGCTCAACCCGTCATCAATAGAGTTAGTCCTACAAAGGGGATTCTCTCTTTCCACCAAAAGCGTATATAAAACAAAAATGATCCTTTGTACTTCTACATCTCCTTACACCAAAAGTATAGATGAACAACAATAATCTATTTATATTTTTTTACATCAATTTCAATATTCTGGAACAAGTTGCCACTTTTTTCATTCCAAATGAGTCAAACGAGATATAATGTTGTTGTTCTCCAAGCTACCAGTTTTCTGTAACCTCTAAGAAACACTTAACAAACAGAAGACATGGGTCCATATCTGCGATGTGAAGCTGCAATACTAATAGGAGGTGGTTGTTTTTCAGGATTCTCCTTACACAAGAAACACTAGCTCACTAGAAGGTGATCTGTGTCCTCTCTATTTCCATCTTCGTTAGGTTATACGTCATTAAGATCGAGCGAAAAAACGAACTTTACAGTCAATTGGTATTCCAAAATATTCATCCACGCCCCCGTTTTCTCCCTTCCAAGTAACTCCATGTAACATGACTTTCCCACGAATGATTTTGCTTTGAACCCACCATACTATCTTGTATGATCCATCCGCTTCTACTAAGCAGTCATAGGATTTCCTTAAGAACTCCTCAACCCCATCCTAATCTGAATCCTGTGTTGCCATCCTGAAGCTTATATCCAATTTGATCCACCGGCCATTCCTTCTTAAATAATCAGCAATCATATTCTCTCTTTACCTGTTCACTGTACCAAACAGCTATTGATATGCATCCTTTAAAGTTATTCGATCACACAACAGATCCTTCCAAAAGCGAATCCTATCCCTATACATGTCAGTATAACATATGTACTTAGTGAACCCATCCTCCCCTTCATGTTCCCCTTCCTTGGGCTCACCTCATTAGAGTATGAGGGTGTTTGGCTAAGCTTATAAGCTGGTCAAACTAGCTTATAAGCACTTTTTGGCTTATCTACGCGTTTGGTAAAGTTAAAAGTGCTTATAAGTCAAAAATAAGCTAAAAGCACCAGCTTATGAATTTTAGCTTATAAGCACTTTAAGTTTGACCAAGATTTTTACTATTTTATCCTTAATATATTTCTTTTTAGAACAAAACTCTTACATCGATACTCACTGCCTTAAGTATTCAACCTAAACCTCCCCCCCTCCCCCCTCCCCCCTCCCCCACCTCTTCAAGTCTGCAATTCTCATTGACTATTAAGATAAGCAAATTCTCGATTCCTTTGCATACTTATATCTATGTGATTGTGTATTAATCTTTGAATTGTATGTAATAAATGAGGACATATCAAATTTTTGGTGTATTGCTTTCTAAGTGTTGTGGTGATGAAGACAACGTTTGTTTCTCTTCAAATAATTTGTCTTATTTAGGTTTATTTTTTACTGAGAAACTTTTGTCAATTTGTTAATTATTATAACTTATGATTATATGCTTATCATAAAATAAATTATATTTATCATAAAAATTATCTTATCTAAGCACAGTTGTATTTAAAATAAAATGAGAAATAGAATATTTTGTATTTGAATCGATCTGGAATTTAAAATTTTGAAGAAATTATGCCCTTATAAGTGTAAACAGTTCTAAGGTTGTTTAAGTCATTTTAACATAAAAAGAGTTTATCAGCATTTTTTTATTAAATATTGCAGCAACTTATTATCAATTTTAGCACTTGTACCCAAACACGTAACTGCTTATTTATTAAATCAGTTTCAGCACCAAATGCTTATTAACCACTTCAAATCAGCTAATCCAAACCGGCTCTATGTCATCTCATCTGAGAACTATCTATTGTTTAAAGCTTCATATTCAACACTTAAGATAAAAAAGAATAGAAGCTTCATACCCTGCGACTATTATCCTTCTCCATAACATATTTACTTCCACCGTAGTTGTTCAATTTTCTCATGTTAAAGGTTTGGCATTCTTCGGATCTCTGAACCCTCCGTGCCCCTCCCCCCAATAAGTGAGGGCTTTGGTTATTTCCGAATCTTCCAAATGATATTTCTCTTCCTCCTCCTTTCCTTCCCTCAAAGTTGCTCATCATTTTCTCCAATCTGGTTGCAGTACTTAAGGGCATAGTAAAAAATAGAACGGACATCTTGTACTACTTTTAACACTTTAGCAAAGACATGAATGTGGTAGATTGGCATAAGTTTGGATTACCATAGTTGCGTACTAAAGAGCATTTTATGCCTGAGTTGTGAAGATGACATAAGCGTAGAATGGTTTTCTCTTGGAAGATTCTTTGACTATGTCTCTTAATCTTCTAATGTTGAACCTGCATTCTTGGCTCAAGAACATCTTGTCATATCTCGGGTAATAAATCCTTTTTCATGGCTATTTCTTATTCTCAATCTCTTCCAACATTCACATTGACAAATTGGTCCCAGACCATGGCAGTTGGAATAGGTCAATCTTCTTCCCTTCATTGACTTCAAATTTAGTCGTATATTTTTCAGGCTGTCACTTTAATCTCATATCAATGAGTCATTTCCCAAATGTATAACTGATTAGTGACTTTTTCAATCACTTTGTTTCCTAACACGATCAACAATATGCGGTGGATAATTTGTTGCTGACGTGTGTCAGATGGACTTCATCTTCTCAAATTTTTGAAATCACCACAGCTTGTCCTGTTTCCGCGAGTTACTCCATATAAGGTTGAAATATCCTAATCTATCTTGTGAGAAAGCACGGGAGAAAAAATCTTATTAATTATCTAAAGTGTTGTACAATGCCCTATTTATATACAGTGATTACATAATAATAGGTATCTACTTCCCGATGTGGGACACTATACATGACTAACTACTTAACACTCCCTCTCAAGCCGGTGCATATAAATCATATGTACCGAGCTTGTTACAGATGTAACTAAACGAGAACCAGTAAGAGACTTAGTGAAAATATCTGCTAGTTGATCATTCGACTTCACAAACTTTGTAGCAATATCTCCTGAGAGTATCTTTTCTCTGACAAAGTGATAGTCGATCTCAATGTGTTTAGTCCTCTCATGGAACACCAGATTTGACGCAATATGAAGAGCATCTTGATTATCACACACCAGTTCCGTCTTGCTGATTTCTCCGAACTTCAACTCCTTGAGCAACTGCTTGACCCAAACTAGCTCACACGTTGCCATAGCCATGGCCCGATATTCGGCTTCGGCGCTAGATCGAGCAACTACATTCTGTTTCTTGCTCTTCCAAGAGACCAAATTACCTCCTACTAGAACACAATATCCAGATGTAGAACGTCTATCAGAAGGTGATCCTGCCCAATCAGCATCTGTGTACCCAACAACCTGCTCGTGGCCTCGATCCTCGAATAGTAATCATTTGCCTGGAGTTGACTTTATATACTGAAGAATGCGAACAACTGCATCCCAGTGACTATCACAGAGAGAATCCATAAACTGACTTACAACACTCACCGGAAAAGAAATGTCAGGTCTAGTCACCGTGAGGTAATTCAATCTGCCAACCAACCTTCTATATCTCGTAGGATCTCTAAGAGGCTCCCCCTGTCCAGGCAGAAGCTTAGCATTCGGATCCATAGGAGTGTCAATAGGTATGCAACCCATCATTCCAGTCTCCTCAAGAATGTCTAAGGCATACTTCCGCTGTGAAATAACAATACCTGAGCTAGACTGAGCGACCTCAATACCTAGAAAATACTTCAATCTGCCCAGATCCTTATTCTGGAAGTGCTGAAAGAGATGCTGCTTCAGATTAGTAATACCATCCTAATCATTGCTAGTAATAACAATATTATCAACATAAACCACCAGATAAATACACAGATTAGGAGCAGAATGCCGATAAAACACAGAGTGATCAGCTTCACCACGAGTCATGCCGAACTCCAGAATAACTGTGCTAAACTTGCCAAACCAAGCTCGAGGGGACTTTCAAACCATATAGTGACCTGCGCAATCGGCATACAAGACCACTAGACTCCCCCTAACCAACAAAACCAAGTGGTTGCTCCATATAAACTTCTTCCTCAAGATCACCGTGGAGAAAAGCATTCTTAATGTCTAACTGATAAAGAGGCCAATGACGTACACCAACCATGGATAAAAAGAGACGAACAGATGCTACTTTAGCCATGGGAGAGAAAGTGTCACTATAATCAAGCCCAAAAATCTGAGTGTATCCTTTTGCTACTAGACGAGCCTTAAGCCGATCAACCTGGCCTGATGCTAGACGTGGACGACGATGATAAGTCAAGGGTGGTGGAGTTGCAGAAGGTTGAACTGGACTAGGTGGTGGACTGGAGCTATAGGTGGTGGATCTGCAATTGGAGCTGTAGGTGGTGGAGCTGGATTTGTAAAGGAAGATGAATGGGAGATAGTTACTGAATCTTCAAAAGATGAAACTGGTAGCACCTCAGAAATATCTAAGTGATTACCTGGACCTATGAAGTATGATTTGGGTTTCAAAGAAGGTAACATCAGCGGACATAAGGTACCGCTGGAGGTCAGGAGAATAGCATCGATACCCCATTTGCATTCTCGAGTAACCTAGAAATACGCACTTAAGAGCACGAGGAGCTAACTTATCTTTTCCTGGAGTAAGGTTATGAACAAAACACGTGCTTCCAAAGACACGGGGTGGAAGAGAGAACAAAGGTAAGTGGGGAAACATGAGAGAGAATGGAACTTGATTCTAGATAGCTGAAGATGACATACGATTAATAAGATAGCAAGATGTAAGAACTGCAACCCCCCCCCCCCCCCCCCCCCCCAAAAAAAAAGCAACGAAACATGAGATTGTATGAGTAGGTACGAGCAGTTTCAATAAGATGTCTATTCTTTCTTTCAGCTACCCTATTTTGTTGAGATGTATACGGACAAGATGTTTGATGAATAATCCCATGAGAGTTCATAAACTGCTGAAATGGGGAAGGCAAATACTCTGGGGCATTATCACTACGAAATGTGCGGATAGAAACCCCAAATTGATTTTGAATTTCAGCGTGGAAGGTCTAGAAAATAGAAAACAACTCAGACCGATTTTTCATCAAAAATATCCAAGTGCACCTCGAATAATCATCAATGAAACTGACAAAGAAGCGGAATCCCAAGGTAGAACTGACCCGACTAGGACCCCAAACATCTGATGGACTAAAGTGAAAAGTGACTCTGCTCGATTATCAAGACGCCGAGGGAAATGGAGCGGGTATGCTAACCGAGCTGACATGACTCACACTCGAGAGTGGACAAGTGAGATAAACTAGGTACCATTTTCTGGAGTTTTGACAAACTGAGATGTCCCAACCGTTTATGTAATAAATCTGGTGAATCGGTAACAAGACAAGTTATTGAAGGAAGACAAGATGTGAGGCCATGTGATTTTGCAAGGATAAGGTAATAAAGTCCATCCGATTCACACCCGGTACCAATGCTCTGATACCATGTGAGAAAGCACGAGGGAAAAAATCTTATTAATTATCTAAAGTGTTGTACAATCCCCTATTTATATACAATGATTACATAATAATAGGTATCTACTTCCCGATGTGGGACACTATACATGACTAACTACTTAACATATCTGAATTTAAAAAAAATAATACCTGATTTGTCTCACCTCTCTATCTTAGAATGTTAGTCATGTCAACTTGGTTACATGCTGTTCTTCCTTCTCCAGTCATCTTGATAATCAGCAAGATTCCCTTTCTCTTTAGTCCATTCACATGTTTCAGTCCTGACTGAATCAGATCATTCCAGTCATATTACAACAGACTTTGTGGTAGGATTGCCACAGGCGTTTAGGAGATTTGACGCTATTTGGGTCATTGTGGATAAATTGACCAAGTCTACGCAGTTCATTCCAGTCACGACTTCCTACATTTCGGAGCAGATGGCTAAGATCTACATCAAAGAGATCCCATCCTTCTCTTAAACTATATATGTTAGCTCCCATAAGGCATAACTGAGATAGGTGTGTCCAATTGTACATACCTCTATTACTGTTGAAAGTAAACTTAGAAAGCTTATATTTCTCTGCTTGAATTGTAAAAATTCTTAATCTTCACTAACTGGGTACCTAGTACCCTTCTTCACCTTGCTTCTTTTACCTATTGAAACTTATACTTTTACCTCCATTCACATGTTTCAGTCCTAACTGAATCAGATCAACCTTGAGCATCGTTTTATGTTTACAATTTGATTTTTATGTTGTTCAACTTAATTAAACAATAATCTGAGGTCTTCCCTGTTACATTGTTATATGAGGAAATGGAGCAATTGAAGCTACAAATCATCTTGCTTTTAAGCAATTTGGATCACCAACACTGTGGTGAAATTCTACCTTACTTTATCTTCATGTGTTTTACTCTACCTGTTTGTGTTTTATGTATGTGAATATGGGGAATCAGTGCCTCTTCGTGCATTTTATCCTGAATGCCTCATGAAGCTTTTATTGTTTCTTGCAGGCAGCTTTGTATCAGACCGAGTTTCGGCCTGTTCCACTGGAAGAATATATAAAAGTAGGCAGTACAATTTATAACCGAAAAATGGACATTGTCAGGACAGTCTCAAAAGCAGCTGAGCTTAGTGGTAAAGATCCAGATCACATTGTGGAGCTCTGCAATGAGGTATAATCTTCTCTGTTACTTTCGTTAGTAGAACTTTATTTTGTTGAGAAAAGTAATAGAAGGAAAGCTATATCAATCTGAGATTTATCAGGTTGTCCAAGAAGGCCACTCAGTGCTAATTTTCTGTTCAAGTCGCAAAGGATGTGAATCTACTGCTAGGCATGTGGCGAAGTATCTTAAAAGATTTTCCTTGAATCACCTGAGCAACCAAAATGAGTCAATTGATATTACTTCTGCTATTGATGCTTTGCGAAGATCTCCAGCTGGATTGGATCCTGTACTGGAAGAGACTCTTCCTGCTGGTGTCGCCTATCACCATGCTGGACTCACAGTAATGTCATTTTAAAGTATTGTGTATCTTTTGTTTCTTTAGTATGTATATTGATTGTTATGTGTTACATGTTTTCTTTAGTTCTCTTGATTTTCTTGTTTACTTTGTTGGTGGTTTTCTTTTTCCATTATTTTGGAGTAAATCTCCATTCATATGAGGTTTTTTTCTACCATGAAGGTTGAGGAAAGAGAAACGGTTGAAACCTGTTACCGCAGAGGACTTGTACGTGTCTTAACAGCTACATCAACCTTAGCTGCGGGGATTAACCTCCCTGCTCGGAGAGTTATTTTCCGACAACCACGTATTGGTCGTGACTTTATTGATGGCACAAGGTACCGACAGATGGCTGGTCGGGCTGGTCGGACGGGTATAGATACAAAAGGAGAAAGTGTACGTTTTGGCCCTTTCCTATTCTTTTCTTTTTCTTGCTCATTCCAAGCTTGCATACTTGGAGAGGAAAAGGATTTTCAGTCACAATCTGTAATTTGTAGGTCTGATTTGCGAGCTATTCTCAGTAACATGCTAGATAAGTTACAATTTTGAACTTGTTTACACCTGTTTGACTCTATTCTCATATATTTTTCTTTTTCTGTCCGTATTTGCGTTGTTTTCCTTTCTATTTAAGTCTTCACTGCGTCTTAAGTGTGCTATATTAAGCTTAATGTTGAAATATTGTTTTATTACATCAGGTGCTGATCTGCAAGCCAGAAGAGGTCAAACGAATAATGGCACTTCTTAATGAGAGCTGTCCACCGTTGCATTCTTGTTTATCGGAAGATAAGAATGGGATGATTCACGCAATATTAGAAGTTGTTGCAGGTGGTATTGTTCAAACAGCCAGTGACATTAACCGGTATGTTAGGTGTACCCTTCTCAATTCAACAAAACCATTTGATGATGTGGTTAAATCAGCACAAGATTCTCTTTGCTGGTTATGCCATAAAAAATTTCTTCAATGGAGTGAAGATACCAAGTTATACACAGTCACACCTCTTGGTCGTGCATCTTTTGGCAGTTCTCTCTCCCCTGAAGAATCACTGGTAACATCTGAAGTTGTTTCCACTTGCTATCACTTTTTCGTCATATTATTTCTTGTCAATTTGTGTTTCTACCCAAGTGGTCATTGTTAACATTTACGCAAATGAGTGGAGTACAAATATTGGAATGGGAATCCAATAATGCTCATTCTCTTGTTTTCTAGGTTGTCTTGGATGATTTGATTAGAGCGAGGGAAGGTTTTGTGCTTGCATCTGATATGCATGTTGTTTACTTAGTGACACCCATTAATGTTGATGTTGAGCCTGACTGGGAACTGTATTACCAGAGGTTCATGGAGTTGTCTGCCCTGGATCAGGTAACTGAACTATAGAGTTTTGCTCCATAATCATCAGTTCGTTTCTAAAGCATTGTCATAGTTGCATGATTTTTTTTCTTTTTTGTTGGGGAGGGGGTTGTGTGTTTTTATTTCCCAAGTTGTTCTACGCTCTGTCCTCCTGTCTTCTCTGTGAGATTGCCCCATATCCTTCTTGTTGTATTTGCTTTATTGAACCTTACATGCTGTTAGATTATCCTTCACTTGCTTATTGTTCAGGAGTTCACCTTTGCTACGCCTTTCACTCATTTGATGTATTTTCCAATAGAGAATAGACGAATAATATGACCAGTAGACTTCAAGTATTAGCCAAGGCAGTACTTCACACTCTTAAATTATTCAGCTCCTGTCAATTATCTAAAACATATTCATCTCCTGCCTTGACAAATAAGTTTGGATGGGTTGAGCTTTTTCTAATGTTTGTCAGCTTTGCAAGGAAAGCATGCTAATGATTTATGAGCTTTGTTTTGTATAGTTGAAAAAGAGTTCTTGTTACATGCAAGGTACTGTAGTTTGGAGCTAATTTCTTGTTCTCTGACACAGGAAGTGTATGACTTCTTAATGTTAAATGCATAACGTAAGTTCTTTGTCTTCAAGGATTTGTAGCTGAAGTATCTTGCATAGTCAACTAGGATGCAAGGTTAACTGGTAAATTATGGAGTTTTTATTTTCTTCCTCTACCCTAAAGTATCTTATTACATCAAGAAATACAGGGAAAAAAATGTTCTTCAGCAGGAACAGGTATTTTAATGATTGGTCACTTGGTTTTAAGTCCTCAATAGTCAATGCTAATTGAATACTTTAGCTTGAAGGTTTAATCAGTTAATGTTCAAAGAGATTTTACTGCTTCCAGACAGCTTCTGTGTGCTATAAGGTGGCATGCCAAGATTTGACGTCATGAATTTGTGCTTGGTTGCTAATTTGATTGTTGTCTGACATTATTTAAGAAGATAAATTTGTTCCTACAATCATGATGATTGCGATGCAGATAATCGTGCGCTGTGTGTTTTGATGTGCAGTCAGTTGGTAATCGGGTTGGAGTTCAAGAACCCTTTTTGATGCGAATGGCTCATGGTGCACCAGTTCGTACATCTTATAGGTCAAAGGCTGGTACTAAAGGGTTACAGGGGAAGTTTGATAACAGATCTCTGAATGACCATATGCCTTCAGATGAACACATGCTTCGCATTTGTAGGAGATTCTTTGTGGCTCTTATACTGTCAAGGCTCGTGCAGGTACAATCTGTGAAATGAATATCAAACACTACTGTATCTCTGTCTGTCACCTCTTCTTCATGGAATTCATAGTTTCAGTATACAACACATTCATTATGCTTTATTGCGAAAACCTGCTGTTAGAATAGTACTCCCTCTATCCCAATATATGTGACACACTTTCCTTTTTAGTCTGTCCCAAAAAGAATGTCACTTTTCTATATTTAGAAATAATTTAACTTTAAAATTCCCATTCTTATCGACGACAAAAAAGACGAGGTTTCTGTTGGAGGGTCCCTGACGCCCCGAGTAGTGAAATGATTTATAGCCACACAGATGTCTAAGGCTTGTTTTAGACCACAAGTTGCAAAAGTCTTCATTTTTTTTCTTCTTAAACTCCATGCCAAATCAAATGGTGCCACATAAATTGGGACGGAGGGAGTAAGTTTTAGTGTTAGAATGTTAGAGTTTAGTATTAGTGGAGTTGTGTTCTTATGTGAGATAGTCCCGCATTGGACAATCATCATCTGTTTCTTGTATTTAACAGCTAGAAATAGGTGTGCCTTGTGTTCCTCAAATCATCTAATCTTCAATATATATTTTTTATTCTCCTATTGCACCTGCAAGTACTGAACTCGATGATTTGCATCATTTTACTCCTTCAACACTTTTTTCTCTAGCTAATTGTTGATATATTGCAATGCTTGTCTCTCACTGATTTGTCTCTTAGTTGCTTAAGAAGTAGGCTTTTCATAGTCTTCCTAATTCGAAGTGTCTCATTATGGGATGAAGGAAGTGCCAGTTGTCGAGGTTTGTGATGCGTTTAAGGTCGCAAGGGGGATGGTTCAGGCCTTACAAGAAAATGCTGGAAGGTTTGCTTCCATGGTTTCTGTCTTCTGTGAGAGGCTTGGTTGGCATGATCTTGAAGGATTAGTATCAAAGTTCCAAAATCGTGTCTCATTTGGAGTGAGGGCAGAGATTGTAGAGCTCACCACCATTCCATATGTTAAGGTAACTGAATTTCTCCTTTTATATTTTCTATATATTTTGGTCAAGTTCTTTAAACTAATTAGAAGTCACCAGGGTTCCCGGGCTCGAGCACTGTATAAAGCTGGTTTGCGGACACCTGAAGCAATTGCTGAAGCATCAATTCCTGAGATTGTCAAAGTACTTTTTGAGTCTTCATCATGGGCTGACCAAGGTGAGGTTTCAATGATTTGGGCCCACGTTGATGGTCTGTTACTTACCCTTAATGCTTCACGTGCTGGATGGAGACCATTACTTTCTTTGCGTTTATCCGTGGAGTGGTCTATCTGGTTTTGACATCCCTACATTTGAGAAGCAATGTGGAAATAATAAACTATGATGCTTATGAGTTATGACTCACTTTTCATATGGTTCTGTAAGGTTTACAAGATTTTGTAACAAGCAACAGAAGTTGAGAAATGTAATGTCACCATCAGTCTTGTTGCTTCAGTATGCTTCTTCCTTCTATGGTTCATGTTTCCTTGCAGTATGCTGGATTAATTTTTTCTTATTCATTTGATGCAACACTAGAGTCTCCACTTCCGATTTGAACATGAAACCACATTCAATATATTGTACTTCTGATGGCATGCATATTTTAACTATCCCCTTATTCCTTCTACTGGCATTCCTTCAGGTTTTCATTATGCATACCAATTTTCCTGTGATTTAATACATGGATAGCCATTTTAAATGATTTATTTATTTGTCTGTTAATTGGGAAAATTGCTTTATCAACTATGGAAGGTTCTGCACAACGGAGGATCCAATTAGGAGTTGCAAAAAAGATAAAAAATGGTGCACGCAAGATTGTTCTTGATAAAGCTGAGGAAGCAAGGCTTGCTGCATTCTCAGCTTTCAGGTCGCTTGGACTTGATGTCCCAACGCTTGCCCAGCCTGTCATATCTACTGCTGCTGGACATACTGCTCGCAAAGAAGCTAGTACCTCCTCTGCAGAAGGGTCAACTAGTAGCTTTGTTAGACTGGAGAACGCGAATCAAGTCCTTTCCACATTATCCCTGGAAAGAAGTAAGGAGGTCAATGTTACTATTTCTGATGTAGGCGGAGATAATTCAAAGAGGAAAACAGTTTCTGACAAAGAGGCATTTGATATAGAAGGATCAAATGGTCTTAGTGGTGAACTTCATGAAACTACTCATCATATTGATAATGCAAAGACTTCCCCACCAACTTTAAAAATTAAGGGCATTGAAGAAGGTGGTACTTATGAGTATCATAATCATGTTGGGAAGCAGCAATGTGAAGGAGGTGAGATATGTAATGGAAGAGTCAAAGAAGCATCAGAGAAGGGTCCTTTAAATGCTACTGCTGTTGCTGGTGGATTTGATTCTTTCCTGGGTCTCTGGGAAGCTGCTGGAGAGTTCTACTTTGATGTCCACTTCAGCAAAAAGTCTGCACTGAACAGCATTGCCCCTTTTGAAATATATGGCATAGCCATTTGTTGGGAAGACTCTCCCGTTTATTATGTAAATCTTCCGAGAGACTTATTTTGGTCCAACAGTAGAAGGAAAAGCCAATCATCGCCCATTACCTGTGGTGATACTGGGAGTTCTCTACCACCAAAGCTTCAGTGGGAGATAGCAATACAGCGATGGAATAGAATTAGTACCATAATGAGGAAAAAAGATATAAAAAAGTTTACATGGAATTTAAAAGTTCAGATTCAGGTACTCAAGCATCCTACTGTTTCAATTCAGAGATTTGGTGGCTTGAGTCAATTGGTCAAGACTGTTGGTGTGGATCTTATTGAGAACAATTGCTTTCTGTTGTCTCCTGTTTCTGTTCAAGATGCAATTGACTTGTGTATAGTAGCTTGGATCCTCTGGCCTGATGAGGAGAAAGGTTCTAGCCCAAGTATAGAAAAGGTAACTCTATTGTCTCATTAGTAATCAGCTCGAACATATTATCGTTTGTCCGCATAGAGGTTGTTATGCAGAGTGCTGCTTTTTCCCCCCTGTGCGAGGTCTATGAAATGCTGTCACTGAGGTATCTGTTAACTAGATAATCTAGTCTTTCACTGTCCTGTAACATCCTGTGCTGGATCATCGTCTTATAGGTTCAATATCTAATGATACTACTGTAATTGGGAGTGACCCATTGAGTAATTGATGATTATAAGTGCATTAGTGTCTAAAATGTGTCCTCTAAGGTTACCCTATTCCTGCAGGAAGTGAAGAAACGGTTATCCATTGAGGCTGCTGCTGCCGCTAATCGAAATGGTAGATGGAAGAATCAGATGCGGCAAGTTGCTCATAATGGTTGTTGTCGTCGAGTAGCACAAACACGAGCCTTGTGTTCTGTTCTATGGAAACTAGTCATTTCTGAAGGACTTGCTGAGGCACTTGGAGCAACTGAAATGCCATTGGTAAAAAGATATTTGCATGCGATCCATTTCTAGTGCAACCATACAATATTTAATCCCTTCTAGAAATCATTGCTTTGGTGGATTTCATCTTTCAATCTAACTTGTGATAGGTTGATATTAAATCCTGCAAAATAAGGGAAGTGTAAGCTTTTTCTGTCTCTCTTGCTATAGGGAGATCAAAGTTATCCAACCTTTCACTGGTCTACCCATAACAAGTTAATTCGTTACTGCCACATCGGGGATATGAGGAAAGGGCAGGCTTACCACAAGTTCGTGCAACTTTATTCCGGTTGCTATGGCAGAATTGAATTCTTTGCTATAAATAAATTATTGTCCATAGTAAAGTTGGCCTTTTCCGAGTATTTTAATGCTTACCCAACAGTGGACAAAAAATTGGATTATGTGTGATCAGTGATGAATTCTAATTTTTTTTAATTCAAGATATCAAGTTAAGAAGAAAACTGATATAGATAGTGTTTATTCTATCAATCTTATTCTCTTTCTTTATGTGAGGCAGAATAAGCTGGCATGAGCCTTAAAGGCCAAATACATGTCAGTTGGGAAAAGGAAAGGAAACAAGTGTAACTTTCTACCTTGTAGGGTGTTGTATCACGAAATTTGCTAGCTATAAAGTAGTAATTGTCCTTCCCCACTTTCCATATGAGAACTGAAAAAGTATCCGTTTATTTTGGTGCTGCAGATTTGTAAAATTTATTGTTCATTGTCTAATCGATACAACAATGTCTATGCCTCTGCAGAAAAAGAAATCTTTTCAAATTGGGATTTTAAATAGAGTATAAGCAATGAGCTGAAGTATCTTTCCCTGGAAGAAGATCTATCTCACTACTAAGAATGTTTTGACCTTCATCTCTTTCTTAGTGTAATTTATTATTTATTTATTTATGTAATTTAGATGCTTCCAAAAACTGTTTGGTTCTCAAGCAAAATAGAACTGCTTCTTTTTCTAAATATTTCAAGCTTTTATACTAGAGAGAATTACTATCCCATTATTCCTGGTTGGAGAACAATGATTCAAATGTTCTGCAAATTTTTATTACTTGTCAAAGGCATGTCATTCTCAATGTTGGAAGTAATTGATATCTGTGTTTATCTTGTAGGTTAATATTCTTGCAGACATGGAGCTCTGTGGAATAGGTGTTGACATGGAAGGGTGCCTGCAGGCACGACAAATTCTGGGAAGAAAGCTGAAGATTCTGGAAAAAGAAGCTTACAAGTTGGCTGGCATGACTTTTTCATTGTACACAGCAGCAGATATTGCAAATGTACTCTATGGGCATCTACAGCTCCCTATTCCAGAAGGACATAAAAAAGGAAAACAGCACCCTAGTACGGATAAGCATTGCTTGGATTTGCTAAGGTAGTGAAAGATATTTTTGTCAATATACTCCCTTCGGTCCAAAATAAGTGGTATTTTGGATGTTTTCACACAGATTAAGAAATTTATCTTTTAGCATTAATTAACAATGAAATTGACCATATTAACCTTTACTATCTCACATAAATACTCCTCACACATACTCCAACACTATTTACTCCAAGGACAATGTAGGAAAAAAATAATTAATTCATTCTTGAAATCTGGAAAAATCACTTATTTTGGACCACAAAAAAAAGGCCAAAAAATCACTTATTTTGGACCGGAGGGAGTAATACCTATTCAAGCAAGTTACCTTGTGTTTCACTTGAAACTTGGTGCCATTCAACTCTGACCTTCTACTGCATGATTATGTTTTGTGCGGCTATCTAGGATCATTTATCCTCTGGTCCTCATCCCAACAAAAGAAGTAAATAAGAAAGAGACCTTAGCTAATAGCTAGGGCCAGTTGCATTGTTAACCCACAAGGTTTTACGTCATTTTTGTTTAGTATTTTCCAGAGTGAGTTGTGTTATCCTCTTTGTCTATGCTGCCTTAACAATCCCTAAGCCCCCTCCCCAACAGAAGAAGTGAAGAGAACCTTTAGCTTGGGCCATCTTCATTGTCAGACCACTAGTTTCTTTAGTTGTACTTCCTCTTTGTCTATGCTGCCTATTATGACTAATCATAATTCCCTTGACCCACACCCAACAAAAGAGTAAAAAGAACCATTAGCTCGGACATGTTCATTGTTATGGCACTCGTTTCTGTGTCCTTTTGTATTCCATGGCTGTATGTTGCTCTTTGTCTAGGCTGCCTGTTGTGACTACAATAAATTCCATATATACGATATCAAACCAGGTAGGATGTAGAGTTATTTAAGTTGGTACGCTTACATTAGGTCTGGTGTTCGCTAGGAGTTTCTAGTTTGTTGAAGATTGGTATATTTGGAGAACCTGTAGTGTTAGAGAACCCCTAGTTTGTTTCAAAAGAAAGTTACGAGTGTTGGAATAAATATCTTCATATGGCAGACCCCAAACAGTTCGGGGTTCAGGCACAATTGATGTTTGTTCAAGCAATATGTGACGTTGTACTCAGATATCTGGTAGTTAGATGAGAAATGTCAGCTGCTCCAACTTGTAAGCTAAGCTGGTGGTCTTTTCATCAAATCCGCCGAGTAGTTAAGATTTCTTGCTTTCTAGAGCATCAATTGTTCCATTTTTTGCTTGTTTGCTTTATCATTAACTGGTATGCATGTCTAATGCTCTGTTCTAAATTCCATGGTATCTTCCTCATTGTTTATATTGAAGTTTTCCCCCTTTTATTCAGGAATGAACATCCAATAATTCCTGTCATTAAAGAGCACCGAACCCTAGCAAAACTCTTGAATTGTACATTGGGGTCAATTTGTTCACTTGCTAGACTATCTATGAGGACACAGAGGTACACACTACATGGTCATTGGCTCCAGACGTCAACAGCAACAGGGCGACTGTCAATGGAGGAACCTAACCTTCAGGTTCTATTTTTATTCCATTGTTTCATTGTTATTAATGTATCATCCTCTCAAAGGTAATATAACCTATGTGGTTGATTTATCTTTTTGTCATACGTATAGTGTGTTGAACATATGGTTGACTTCAAAATGAATAAGGAGGACGAAGCCGTTGGTCAGCTAGATGTCAATAATTATAAGATCAATGCTCGTGATTTTTTTGTATCTACTCAGGTATCTCTCGGGTAATCTTAAGTTTCTGTAAATATCTTTTTGGATGGTTTCAACCAAATATTTTATTTGCTCTTTTGCAGGAGAATTGGTTACTATTAACAGCAGATTATTCCCAGATAGAACTGAGATTGATGGCCCATTTCTCTAAAGATTCCTCATTGATCGAGCTGCTCAGTGAACCCCATGGTGATGTCTTCACCATGATTGCTGCAAAATGGACAGGTAAAGCAGAGTCTGTTGTGAGTCAAGAGGAGCGAGATCAAACTAAAAGGTTGGTTTACGGCATTCTTTATGGAATGGGAGCTAAGAGCCTTGCAGAACAAATAGATTGTAGTTCAGATGAAGCTGCTGAAAGAATCAAAAGCTTTAAAAGATCTTTCCCTGGTGTTGCTTCCTGGCTACAGGAAGCAGTTACATCTTGCCGTGAGAAAGGGTGAGTTCAATTCGTTAAAGTTAGTTTCACTAGTTTTTGGTTTTCTAGCTTTTTTTTCTGAAAGTTACAGCTATTATTCTATGGTCCAGAAGTTGGCATAAGTGGTCTGAACTTTGTGTGTACATATGTATTTATGGGTAATTTTTTATATTAACATTGAGCAGATTGTATATACCCAAAGCTAGAGAGAACCTTAATCTATTTACTTAATTGACAAGAAAAATAAGCTGCATAAACCAAGGAGATTCATGATTTACCCTTGACTATGAAAACAGCAACAAACAACAACAACCACCCAGTAAAATCCCACAAGTGGGGTCTGGGGAGGGTAGTATCTACGCAGACCTTACCCCTACCCCGAAGGAGTAGGGAGGCTGTTTCCGGAAGACCCTCGGCTCAAGATAAGAAGAAAAACAAAAAGGAGAGAATGTTAGTTTCACCACAGAGATCATAGGAAAAATAGGAACATAAAATGCAGAAGGAAAAATGCAAAACAAAAACAAAAATGATGGCTAGTAAATAAGTCCTGCACCGAAAAGAGAAAATAGTAAGACATGACAATGCCCCTAGCTATCTCAGACAAAAACCCTACCAGCTCACAACAGTACAAGGTAATGCAAGACTCAACTACCTTCTAGCCTACAACCGTAATACTCGACCTCCACAACTTCCTATCAAGTGTCATGTCCTCGGAAATCTGAAGCCTCGCCATATCCTGCCTGATCAGTTCTCCCCAATACTTCTTAGGCCGCCCTCTACCTCTTGTCGTGCCCTCCACAACCAGTCGCTCACACTTCCTTACTGGAGCATCTGGGCTTCTCCTCTGTACATGTCCGAATCATGTGAGCCTCGCTTCCCGCATCTTGTCATCAATGGGAGCCACGTGCACCTTCTCCCGGATATCATCATTTCTAATCTTGTCCATCCTAGTGTGCCCGCACATCCACCTCAACATCCTCATTTCTGCTACTTTCATCTTTTATGTGAGTTCTTAACAGGCCAACACTCAGCCCCATACATCATGGCCGGTCTAACCACCGCTTTATAGAACTTACCTTTGAGTATCGTTGGCACTCTCTTGTCACACAAAACTCCAGATGCTAATCTCCACTTCATCCAACCTACCCCAATACGGTGTGCGACATCCTCATCGATCTCCCCTTCCCCGAGGATAACCGACCCAAGGTACTTGAAGCTGCCTCTACTAGGGATAACCTGTGATTCAAGCCTCACATCCACGCCCACTTCCCCCGGCTCAGTGCTGAACTTACACTCCAGGTATTCCGTCTTCGTTCTGCTCAGCTTGAAACCTTTAGACTCAAGAGTCTGTCTCCAAACTTCTAGTCTCTCGTTAACACCGGCTCGTGACTCATCAATCAGAACTATGTCATCGGCAAATAGCATGCACCATGGCACCTCTCCTTGAATATGGTTTGTTAATGCATCTATCACCAGGGCGAATAAGAACGGACTGAGCGCAGAGCCTTGGTGTAACCCCATTTCAACCGGAAAATGCTCCGAGTCGCCTCCTACTGTCCTAACCCGAGTCTTAGCCCCATCATACATGTCCCTAATCGCCATAATATAGGGAACCGACATACCTTTTGTCTCCAAGCATCTCCAGAGAACTTCTCTTGGAACCTTGTCATACGCTTTCTCTGGGTCAATAAACACCATGTGCAGATCCTTTTTCTCTCTCTGTACAGTTCCACCAACCTCCTAACAAGGTGTATAGCTTCTGTGGTAGAACGACCCGGCATAAACCCGAACTGGTTTTCGGATACAGACACTGTCATCCTGACCCTCGCTTCAACGACCCTCTCCCATACTTTCATGGTATGACTCAGTAATTTGATACCCCTATAATTGTTACAACTTTGGATATCACCTTTGTTCTTATACAATGGAACCACCGTACTCCACCTCCACTCATCCGGCATCCTCTTCGCCTTAAAAATAACATTAAACAACCCAGTCAACCACTCCAAAACTGCTCTCCCTACACACTTCCAAAATTCCACCGGAATCTCGTCTGGCCTGGTTGCTCTGCCCCTACTCATCTTACGCATAGCCCCCACAACCTCCTCAGCCTTGATACGCCTGCAGTGCCCGAAGTCACGGTGACTCTCGGAATTCTCCAATTTGCCTAGCACAATATCCCGATCCCTTTTTTCATTCAGAAGTTTATGGAAGTAAGTCTGCCATCTCCTCTTAATCTGGGCATCTTCCATCAGTATCCTACCATTTTCGTCCTTGATGCATCTCACTTGGTCCAAATCCCGAGCCTTACTCTTTCAACTTGGCTAGCCGGAATAACTTCTTCTCCCCACCCTTTTCCCCTAGTTCCTCGTACATACGACCATAAGCTGCAGTCTTAGCCTCCGTGACTGACAATTTAGCTTCCTTCCTAGCTACCTTATATCTCTCCATGCACGCTCGCCTCTCCTCCTCACCTATGCTCCCCACTAACTTCATGTATGCTGCCTTCTTCGCTTCCACTTTACCCTGGACCACTTCATTCCACCACCAGTCTCCTTTATGCCCACCAGAGACACCGGTCGTGACCCCTAATACCTCTCTCGCAGATGCCCTTATACAGTCTGCTGTAGCTGACCACATAGTGTTTGCGTCCCCACTGCTCCTCCAAGCACCCATAGCCGACAGCCGCCACTCCAACTCTTGGGCTTTATCCTTAGTCAATGCTCCCCACCTGATTCTCGGTGTTCCCCGAGTAGTCCGTTTCCTCCTCTTGAACCTAATACCAACGTCTATCACCAAGAGTCTATGCTGCGTCGCGAGTGTCTCACTCGGAATCACCTTGCAGTTGTTGCACATCCCGCTGTCACACCTCCTGAGGAGGAGATAGTCAATCTGAGTCTTCGCTACCGCTTTCTGGAAAGTAACCAAATGCTCATTCCTCTTCGGAAATCTAGAGTTCGCAATCACCAACCCGAAAGCCTTAGCGAAGTCCAACAGCATGTTACCTCCTCCGTTCCTCTCCCCAAAACCAAAGCCTCCATGCACCTCGCCATAACCACCTGCGGTCGCCCCAATATGACCATTGAAATCCCCTCCTATGAATAGGTTCTCGGCAGGCGGAACCTGGCGCACAATCTCATCTATCCCCTCCCAGAAGCGGCGTTTAACCTCCTCATCTAGGCCCGCATGCGGCGCATAGGCGCTAATGACGTTTAGGGTGTACTCACCAACCACCAACTTAATAACCATCAATCTATCATTCACTCGTCTAACTTCGACCACAGACTCTCTGAGTTCCCTATCCACCAAGATACCCACTCCATTCTTACCTCTCTCGACTCCTGAGTACCAAAGTTTATGCCCGTCCGCATCCTTCGCACTCGACCCTACCCACCTTGTCTCGTGGACACACGCTATATTGACCCTTCTCTTCTGGAGAATCTTCGCCAACTCTATAGACTTACCCGTCAATGTAGCTACGTTCCATGACCCGATTCTTAACCTATAGACACCCTTGTTCCCTTTACCTCCCCCGCCTCCCGACCCACCCCCTAACCCCTGCCCTACCTCCCGCCCCACCCCCCGCTCCCCCCGAGGACATGACCTCACTCAACCATCCCAGACCACAGTCACTATACCTACGACAGACTAAGGGGAATCACTAACACACACAAGGCAACCGACCAAGCTAGACAAAGACACTCTACAACTATAAACGCACTAATACGATGGATAAACAAATAGGAACAAAGATTCCAATAATTTAACTAACACAATAAAAGGAAAATGAATAAGGGGAGGTACCAACTCCCGCGGGTAGAACCTGGGGTTGTCTTGGTATATACGACGACGTTGCGTCCACCTAGCACGTTCGCGTCCAACTCCCGCCGACCCTTGTTGACCCTTATCGGGGATGTTCCTTTTGTTTGCACACGCACGTCCCGCTCACCGCTAATAGCCACAATCCCTAACCTGAAATACACACAAAACACCACGAAGACAAACATAGAAGGGGGGTTGTCACCGCTACCACTGGTGAGGCCCCACCTGTAGCAAAGGAGCGCAAAAAGGATGTAATAAAACCTCAAATTGTTTTTTTTTAAATAAAAAATAAAATAAAATAAATTAAAACTATAAAACTCCTTTTTTCAAAATACCAGCAAAAAGTTAAATAAGCCTGAAAAGTCAAACTTTAGTGAACTACCATAAAACAAGCACAAAATTGATATTGAAACAAAAATATTACAACAACAAAGTATATAGCACACATTTAACCATGGAACACAGTATATAGCACACATTTACACCAAAACATAAACATAAAACTAACATAAATATCGGAGACCGATCTTCACACTAACACAATTCAAATAAACCAAAATCAGGTTAAATAAGATGAAATAAAATGAAACCTGTAAACAAACCGAACAATAGAAATTGCAAGAATCTAACAGTAAACAAACTTATAAGTGACAGAGCAAAGCAAGGGAAAAATTGAAAATAAAGACAGAACGAAACAGGATAACGACTTTAGCCAAATCAACGGTTCAAAAACACCGAACAACAGATGGACTAAGAGATAGACCAAGAGAAAAAGAACATAAGAAGTCAACACATTCAAAGAATTGAGCGGATCTGTGGGCAAAGCGAATCCAAGGTCACACAAATATGAATCCAAGGTCCTAGTGCTTTGTGAAAAACAGAAATCATAAAATCAAAAAGAATCAAAGGTAAAGTATGCTTGAAATAAATCGAATTTATATTAGTCAATAGAAAGAGGTGAAGAATTCCTTTAAAGTTAACAGAGTTAAGCGAATCTATATGGGTGACGGAGGTTGAATCTCGCCGGACTCCGGTCGCTGGACGTCGGCTGCTTTCCGTTGGAGAGATTGGAGGAACGTCTAGTCTAGAAAGAAAGACGTAGTCAAATAATCCTTCGCATTATTATTTTAATTAGCTAAAACAATTATATCAATCTAAGGCTCATGATCACTTTGGCCCAATTTTGCTTCAGATCTTTCATTTTATGTTTTAAAAATTGTGTTGCTATTTTTTTCTCTTTATTACTTCCATTTCATTATGATGTATTAGATGCAGATAAGAGTAATTTTGGTTGAAGTACTTGAAACTAATTTGATGTCCTAATATCAAGCTACTACAGGTTTCCGTTTAATGTTTTTAATCACTGGTTTAGGTGAAAAAAATAATCTCCGGTTTATATTTTTTACTTAAGCTTTCCTTCTTTCTTTTTAAGCTTGTATAGATGTGGTTTGCTAGTGGTAGTAACATTTCTCCTTATTTTGCCTCGTGCCTGCCGCAGCAATCACAGAAACCCTGGCTCTGTCCCTGTTCATGCACATATGTGTTTCTTATAAATTTCTTGCAAGGGCTAACATTCAGGGTCATTTAATGGCAGTGTTGCACGTAGTGGATCATAAGTTGCCTTTGTTTCCTTCTCCTGTGCACTTATTGAAAAAGTCTCATTCCTGGATGAGAAAATACCTGCTACAGTATCTGATTTTTTATATATTAACTGGAGGATCTTTTTTTTGGTCTCTTTTTTGTGTTCTTTTATATATTAACTGTAGGATCTTTTTTCTGGTCTCTTTTATACATTCAGGGTCATGTTATTTTTCGTGATGAAGTAGTTCTTGGTACCTCTCTCAAGATAAAAATAAAAAATGGCTGTCATTGCACTCAGGTTGTCAATGCATCAACCGGAGAATGTTCTGCCATATGCACTGATGCAAGTTCTAAGATATTTGGAAGATTTTATAGTAGAAGACAATAAATTATTCTAGAAATCTTTTTATGGATCATTATAATCATCTTTTAGATTTAATATTGTGCTTCTTAGTCTTATTCTCTGTCTCTCTATTTCACTCTCTTTGTTTCTTTCTCTCTCTCCCTCTTTCTCTATCTCCTCTGTATATTACATTTCTTCTTCTCCCATCCCTGAAATCTTCCCATTGCCTTTTCCTTATATCCTTCATGCTCATGAGTCATTACACCCAGGAGTAATATTACTATTCAGTCGTAGATTGACGTTGCCTTGACTTTTGTCAATTCCAGATGTAAATTAGAGAATTCTTGATGTAAATGTGCGAAGATCATGTCTACCATATTGAACATTCATATGTTGCACACAGATTATTGATGGCCATGTTGATCTGCTTAAAACTGTGTGAATGGCTTTGCAACTGTGCCTTCGGTATTAGCTTTATCTGCTTTCTTCCCAAGTTACTCGTTTCTTGTAGTTGGTGCAGTCACACGTTATTACTTTTCGTTACATATACAGCCTTTTGTATTGGTATTTCCTTTAATTGTTGCCATCTTTCTTATTGTGATGCAGTTATATAGAGACCCTCAAGGGACGAAAGCGCTTCTTGGCAAAAATAAAATTTGGAAACAGTAAGGAAAAGTCTAAAGCTCAGAGGCAAGCTGTGAATTCTATCTGCCAGGTAGTTTTGCTTTCTTTTCCACTCTCCTGATCCCTTCCCTTCCTCAATCATTTGCCTTTTCTCTTTTCGCATTCTATCATTGCCTTTTTTGTCTTTATTGCTGTAATTAGGGGTCAGCTGCAGACATTATCAAGATTGCAATGATAAACATCCATTCTGTGCTTGATAACTTTGAGAAGTCTCCGTCCAATTCTACGGTTGATGAAAAGTTTCATGTGCTTAAAGGACGTTGTCGGATCATATTACAGGTAGTTTTCGAGTATTCTCTTCCTGGACAGAAAAATGTTTTACTTGGTTCTTTATCTGTTTTTCAATTATGAGGCTGACAATTCGCATCCCCAATCAGTCCGTTTCTGGTACTCTCAGAAAGCACTTTTTGTCTCTAAAGAAAAAGAGGGATAAAACAGTCAGAATTCTTTTTACAGTAATAGCTTATGTTTTGGTTCAGTTGCTCAGTCACTACTCTCTACTCCTATTTAGGTTGCTTCATTTTGGTATGTCCCGGAATGTCTGACATTTCTATGAGTTGTATTTCCAAAAGTTCAAGAACTCAAATTGGAAAATTTAATATACTTATTTGATCGTTTCAACTAAATATTTTCTTTTATTACACTGATACAGGTGTAGTTGATTTGTAAAATTTTGTGCTTATCAGATGTATCACAATAGTGCCACAGGAGGAACAATTTTCATATTGTTACAATCTTTTTATTTGTTTCCCGTGAACTGAAATATGGTTTGGTTTGGTTAGGAAACATATAGTTGGTTGATTTATAAGGTTTCGATGATGCTATGACGAATTTCATGGTTTTCTGGTTATGGAAGTGCTTAAAATCTCTAATAGGGGGATTAAAAAAAAGTCTATATATTAACTACCTCTTAGTTGCCTGAAGTTATTTGCTTACATTTGCATTTGATGTTGTTCGATTAAAGAATGATCACTTGCTTTGGACATTGCTAAGGTTCACGATGAATTAGTACTTGAGGCTGATCCTTCTGTTGCAAAGGAAGCTGGATTGTTGTTGCAGATGAGCATGGAAAATGCTGTTTCACTTCTTGGTAAGGGATCATATAAACTAAATAGATGCTTGTCTGGATCTTAAGTCCTAGTTTATCTGAGGTTTGTCAACTGGAGGATTTTCTTGGTTGGGGGATGCAGCAGAAGGTCCTCTGATTGATGTAACCTTTGTTAAACTTTTTGGTGGACTAAATGATCTTATGTTGTTCTTTATTGTACTTTCCCTCTTGTATAATTGATATTCTTCTTGAAGAATGCGCTTATTGTAGAACCTATGGTTTTTGTCTGCCAGTCCCACTGCATGTGAAACTGAAGATTGGGAGGACATGGGGATCTTTGGAGGCTTTCCAGGTCATAGAATGAATAGGTTTGTTTCAGTGTGCACATTTGTTGGTAGAGTTTAAAGCTATCAGTTGCTTCATGCTGTTCGAACAGTACTAATTGCGCTCATTTCAAGTAACCTGAAAATTCATGGGTTCTTTTTGTTGTTTCTTCACACTGCTATTTTTATGGTGTTTTAATTTTGACTATTATCTTTATTTTTGTGAAGCAGTATCCTTTCAAACAAGACAGTCTTTGTCTATACTTGACCGGACCAGAGCAAGCAATGATGTTGGCAGGGCAGCGGTATAACTTTATGTGAATTTGCTGCTCATCAAGGTTATAATGTGCTCTAATTGGCGTGTCTCAGAATCTCATGACTTTTGTACAAGCAAAGGTCTCATTGATGGATAAGGTCACTTGACGGAATTGGAAGGACAGAGCAATGGACTTTTCACTTTTATTGACCAAATCTGCCCTTGTTGGTGCTCAGATAAATTTTTGGAACTGTAACATGAAGGAAGTAATATTGTGATGAGGGTACCCGGAACCAAGGTCAGTTTCAATATTTTTGAGGGCATGAGATGTCAAGATTCTGCTGATGAGTTTTTCTTGATTGTCTCCTGAGCATGCTGCTTCACTGTTCTAAGCCCGCAAGCATCTAGATGGGAATGTGTTTAATTACTGGTGATAAGGCTTTTACCTTATTCTCATAGTCTCTCACAGAAAGCGAATACTTAATATACCAGGGGAATACCCACCAAGAGAATCAAGGAGTTGGTCCAAGTGGTGGATGACTTGTAGCGCTTAATACATGATGCCAAAGATTCAAATCGTACTGAAGTCATATTCATCATTCAAGGTTGTGTTGGCCTTGGGCTATGAATCTTGTGGGGTTTGACTCAACCCTCTTTAATCGCACCATGAATGGTTCCTATGTGGTTATTTGTCTCCATGCCCCAGAAGCCAAAAAGCCAAAGGGAAGAATTATTCGAGGAAATAATCATAGGATTTTTAACTGTTTCATTGGCTCAGCCTCAAGTTTAGTCAGTGCAGATCTCCAGGAACATTTCAGAGTTGTATGAATTGCCATAAGATGATATTCAATGTCTTGGGGTGCATTTTCTGCTGTATCTGCCCTGAAATTTGATGCATGTGGAATTGGTCAATGGTCTGTATTTTTGTGTCTCTCACATATGGAGGAACAGCCTGGGACCTGGAAGATCCACATCAGGTCACATTGTTACAAAGGGTACAGATAAATCAATCTGGAGGGGTCTCGAACATACAACTGTGAGCAGCTCTCTTGACAATCGAATTTGGAGATCTGGAGCACCCAGAAAGGCTGTTCTGATTGCTTGGAAGACTTCATTGAAGTTACTGTGATATGTGACATCTAGAGACAAGAGGATTTTGTCATTTGGTTGATGATCCGCCAGAGACTTGGAAAGATGAATTATGACTTAGTGAAAGGATTCTCAATAAAGGCATTCTTTGGTGCATGGATTTAATTCAGTCATTTTTGTCTATGATATCATTCACGGAAAAGACTTTTTGTCTACCTGGTGTGTTTTTAACAGAGAAGTGCATAGATATGATTCTTACACTTCATCTGAATATGTTTGGTGCTCTGCAGAGGAGTTTCTGATGATGCTGAGTTGGAACCAGGTTAATTGATTTCTATTTTTTATGCAATACTTTTAAAAAAAAAAAAGACTGTTGGCATCCGGGAACACCTTAAAATTTGCTCATCCCTCCCACCCCCCGCGCGCGCATTACTGCATGTTTTGATACAAAATTTGCTGTTTTCTTATTAAAAAACTTGAATGAGTGTCATCCAAGAAGAATATTTGAAATTCCTATTGGGTGTGGTAAAGGAATCATTGTGAAGAAAACGGATGTTCTGTTAATCAAACCTCAGCACAACCAAATTCTTGGTTGATATAAGATGTCGCCCCCAGATAAATGCACTTCCTAGAGATAAAAATGAGGTCTTAGTAATAACAATATTTTGGTTGATATCGTGCTACCTAGAGATAAAAATTAAAGTACAACCATGAACTCTATAAGCTGTTTATTTAGCTCATATACACTTGGCTCAGTGGTTGAAGCTTGGAGCGGACATGGGAAATGCTAATGGGATTCTCATAAACACGGAATGTAAGTTATTCGAAGAGTACATATGATAATCATTTATCTTAACACGGTATTGGAAGACCTATTCTTTATTGATCTAGAACTAACCACAAGGTCAAAGTCAAATAATTAAAGTTCTTCAATGGACATCCAAAGGTCTGTAAATTTTGCTCCGAAAACTCATTGAAATTAGTAGAGTACATTTGTCATGGTCTAAGAAGTTGTTTTAATGACATTGTTTGGCAATTTAAATGAATTAGAGGGGAAAGCGAAAATTGACTCCTCGACGTGATTACATCAAGCACCTGAAAATACTTTGGAATTAATGTTGGGTGCAAAATGCGCACACAAACCAGCATACTCGGATAAAATGCTAAATATTTTCACGCGATTATTAAGTATGTACGTGGCAACGACACGATTTCCCTTGGAAGCTTTTCTTAGTGTTAACGAGATTCAACAATATAAATATATATATATATATATATATATATATATATATATATATGTATGTATGTTTGTATTTAAATTACTTATATTTATGTGCGATATAATTATTTTTGGAGAAAAAGAACTCAATGCACGACCCTTGGCCAATGTGCTTCTGCCAAACCGGCACGACGTACAAGGAAGGCTCAACCCTTATAACAAAATCAAAGATGGGTATATTTTGGACCTCCAAAATAAACGATCAAAACAAGCTGAACCTTTTGGGCGAGTATATTTTGGTGTTAGGAAAGTTCCGTACAGTTTATCTTTTTAGAAAATGTAATGTTGATTGTTTATAGGTTGAAGTGATGCAATCAAAATTCTTTAAAGCATCCAACCTTTGAAAATGGGTGGCTGGGCTTTAGCATTCATTACACCTGTCATCCGGAGAAGAAATTTAAGAAAAAGAAGAGAAAGAATAAAATAAAGAGAAAAAGAAAAAAGAAAAAATAAATATATTTAATGAAAGAGATGTTGAAAAAGTAAAATTTAAATATTCGAATTAGGTCTCAACGAGCGAATCGGTGTTTTACTACCAATCACAAGTTTCATGTTCAACACAGTATTCATACGGGAAATTTTGATCAAAGAGTTCTTTATCAACCGCCATCTACTTCAGAGATCCCTACGGAAATCTTTTTCAAATACAAAAATTCAGTATCTTCCCCCATTAGTGAATTAGACAGGATTCCTTTGTCCAGAATAAAAAAGTGGTGGGTCAATTTTCAGAAATTTCATCGTAAATGTGAAATACTTATATAAAAAAAAATGCGGGAGAGATAAAAAAGATGCAGGGTCGTTTGTCTGCTTGGCTAGTCAAGCATGGGCTAATTCATAGATCTTTGGGCTTTGATTACCAAGGAATAGAGACTTTACAAATAAAGCCCGAGGATTGGCATTCCATTGCTGTCATTTTTTATGTATATGGGTACAACTATCTCCGCTCTCAATGTGCCTATGATGTAGCGCCTGGCGGGCTGTTAGCTAGTGTGTATCATCTTACGAGAATAGAGGATGGTGTGGATCAACCAGAGGAGGTATGCATAAAAGTATTTGCCTCCAGGAGGAATCCTAGAATTCCGTCTGTTTTCTGGGTTTGGAAAAGTGTGGATTTTCAAGAACGAGAATCATATGATATGTTGGGAATCTCTTATGATAATCATCCACGCTTGAAACGTATCTTAATGCCTGAAAGTTGGATAGGATGGCCCTTACGTAAGGATTATATTGCCCCTAATTTTTATGAAATACAAGATGCTCATTGAATGATAAGAAAGCTATTTCCACTTAGACAATTTCAGATATTCAAGGATTGCACGTTCTGTTCTAGATTAAGCAGGTCTAATTTAGGGAATTATCGATAGGCTAACAAAAAAAGACAATTAGGGATTCATTGGAATTCTCACATTTATTTGGAAGATACTTATTTCGGATGGGTCACACCAATAGGATGAACCAAATGAGTTCTGCATCATGAACTTTGTACTGCGCACATTACTTAGACGGGTTCTAGAAAGGCATATAGGAAGGAATGGAGAAATCCGGAATGAAGAAATCGAATATGAAAGAAAAGACAAAGAAATGAGAGAACATCTAAGCTGAATCTTGTCTATTTCAACCCCCCTAGATTCGGATTCGACTTTTGAGCCTTTCAACAATTAACCAATTTAACCTTTTGAATATGTATTCCGTATTCAAATTCGGTTGAACGAGAGGAGAAAAAAAAAGAGGAGATAGAATCCAATTCTTTTAGATACTTTATCTAAGAAACTCTACCCATCTAGAACATAGATGGGGTATATCTCGCCAAACTGGATAAAGCTATTATTCTAATTTCTTCACTTGAATCATAATTACAAGAATCTAGATTTGAGTATCGTGTCGTAAGAAAAAAAAATGAATCGGAAAAAAAGATTTCTTTTTTTATTGAATTGAACGTGTTCATTCATTTTGACTACTTTAGCATATTTTCTCATACTAATTTCTACTCTACCTTCCCGGAGTTCATTCTCCGGGGAACTCCATTTAAATTATTCTGGTGGACTCTTTCCAATCTACTTCCTTTATGATTTCGTTCGAAATCATATAAAGACAATTCCTATTTGATATAGCTATTTGTGCAAGTATTTTACGGTTAAGAAGCAACTGTCTCTTGTACAGATTGTGTATTAATCTACTATAACTATAGGATATTCCCCTTTCGCGAATTACTGCGTTTATCCGAGTGATCCACAAACGACGAAAATCTCTCCTTTTCCTATCCCTATCCCGATGAGACGAAACTAAAGCTCTTATTTTCTGTTGAGTAATTGTTCGAGTAAGCCTTGAATGAGCCCCTCGAAAGCTTGATGCAAATAAACGAATTTTTTTTCTACGTCTCCGAGCTATATATCCTCGTTTAATTGCTTGCCATCCATCATCCAGGAGGCTATATTCCAGTTTGAAATAGTTTAGGTAGGGGTGTTCATAAAAATCCGAAAAACCGAACTAAATCAAACCGACCAAAAAAACTGACACGTTTTGGTTTGGTTTGGTTTTGGTTTTGAATTTTAAAAACCGATCAAATTTGGTTTGGTTTTGGTTTTAATCAGAAAAAATCGGAAAAAAAAACGAACCAAACCGACTATAGGAGTAGCTATTTCAAATTTATTATTACACCTATATATATGTATATTTTTATACAAAGTTTCAAAAATTTAATTGTAAATGTTAATAGTTGCACTTTTAGTATAGTTCTTTACCTTTACATTCTAGTTTGATTGGTAGTTTTCTTTTGTTAAGTGTAAGAATCCATTTCGTGTTAAAAATAATATATTTTTAATTGAGTCCATAAATTATTCATCACTATTTGATTCAACTATCATCAATATATCTTGGTAAATAATAGATTTCTCAAAGAAAAATTGATTTGATAGTGTTACGTTGAAAATATGGTCGCCGGAATATGTGTTTGGTAGTGTATGTCTTATATTTAAGAAAAAACCGACAAATAACCAAAAGAACTGAAAACCCGTCATAAACCGAATCGAGAAAAATCGATTTAATTGGTTTGGTTTGGTTCTAATATTTGAAAAACCGACTTACTTGATTTGATTTCTTTTAAGGGAAAAACCGATCCAAACCGAACCATGGACACCTCTAAATTTAAGGGGTAATAGGTCCCCAACATAATTTAAGGGTGCAAAAGCAAATTCGACACAAGCAAGGAGGTTTTTATGCATTCTCTTCCCCTCATTAAAACTTAGCTAACTTGATTATAAAATCAACTGTAAAATATAGTTAAAAAAAAGAAGAAAAAGGAAGAAATCGCCAAAACCTCGCTTAGAGCCTGTTTGGAAAGCCACCTTGGAAATGGATTTGGGTGTAATTGGGTGTAATTACACAATTTGGCATGTTTGTTTGATCAAGTAATTACTTGGTCAGCATGGAATTGGTGTAATTGGAGGGGTGTAATTACACTCTCCAATTCTCAAGGGGAGGTGAGAATTGGTGGTAATTACACTGTGTAATTACAAGGTTGCTTTTTAGTTTCTTTATTTTTCATTTTTATTTTAATGTATTTTCTTTATAACTTTTTATTTCTATCATTTTAATTTTTTAATTTTATTTTTACTTTTTAATTTCTTTTGAAATTTTAAATATATTTTTCTTTGTACATTATTTATCTTTTATTTCTCCATCTTTACTTCTTGTGATTCCATGTAATTGCTTATATTTTATCTTTTTTTTTATTTTATTATTCTATATTTTTCAACTACACCTCCTAATATTAAAAATAATGAGTCACTAATAACTTGGCATATAATGAATGATGCAATTAAAGTGGAATTCCGTTGTTGAATTTGGTTATAAACTTATCATGTTTCCTAATCTTAAGTTGCAGTGGGACTTACTATTATTATGTTGGAATTTGACATATGTTAAACTATTTTTTTTTATTTATGAAATTGTGATATATTCATGGTTCCAATTTACTTGTTTTAGTAGTATTGGTTCACATTGTATGTTGTTCATTTTTTAGTTAGAATTGATAGATTAGTTTTGTCAAACATTTGAATAATGTTATGACACTATATTTATAAATATTAATTTATTTTATC